GTTAATGCAGTGACTTCTTTGACAGTGCAGTGACTATCGTTAATGCAGTGACTTCTTTGACAGTGCAGTGACTATCGTTAATGCAGTGACTTCTTTGACAGTGCAGTGACTATCGTTAATGCAGTGACTTCTTTGACAGTGCAGTGACTATCGTTAATGCAGTGACTTCTTTGACAGTGCAGTGACTATCGTTAATGCAGTGACTAATGAAGTTTCCACTTCTTTGTGTGAATGTGTATATTTGGGGGGGGGGGGAGGCTTGGGTGTGGTAGAATTGTGTGTTTAATAACTGTTAAAAGGCTTGTAGTTCCTGGAGTGGTTTTTTTTCTTTCTTTTTCATTTACATGCCGAAAAAGTTTATAATTCACAATATTGACAATTTACAAAACAAAAATGAGTTTTCCGAAATTCTGCTAATACATGAAGTGTGTAATTTCTGTAGTTTTTGTTTATGGTCAATTGCCTGTTGAAAATGTTTTCATTCCACAAGATTTTATCGTGAAGCATTTTTAAAAGTACATACTTTTTCCTATTTATTTTTCATGTAATATCCGCTTGTATTCAGCGTGAGGAAAGGGGGGGGGGGGTAAATGGTATGTTTGTGTGTCTGTCTATATATATATATATATATATATATATATATATATATATATATATATATATATATATATATATTTCACATGTGCAGGACTGTCCAACTCTCCCTATCAGTCCATGTAAATAATAATTGTAAAATTTTACAAATGACTATTTTGAGTGGAGTGCAGCCGAAGGAAATTATCAAGGGAAAGCGCCAAGCCATTGCGACTATATAGCACTTGGAAGGGGCCAGAATAAGCATTTGGGATGGGACAGGGGGAAAGGAATAGTGTCCCAGCCACTTGGGGACGGTCGGGGATTGAGTGCAGACCTGCACGAAGCGAGATCGTCGCTCTACCGTCCACAGCCCAAGTGGTCACACAATCCTATTAAATTCCTAATGCTGCTCCCTGCACCAAGATTGTCAACACAGCACCCGACTCCTCGCTAAGATGTTACCTGGTTGAAGGGTAGAAATAGCCTAAGCTACTCAGATAGATACATCTAGATACTAAGATACATATAGATAGATATGAGACATAGATATATATCTTAGATATATCTAAGATATATAGACATATCTTAGATATATCTAAGATACGATGGATACTAAGATACATCATTTTGAGATGTATCTTATTATCTCAATAAACATACTTGAACTTAAATGTTGCCTGAACCTCACTACAAGGTACTCGAATAATGCACTGCTGTAGTGAACTAATGTATGCTTTTGTTACTTGCTGTACTTTTAAAACAGGCGATAAAACATGGTTTTGTTTCGCGTTGTTGGGGATAGGAATTCCTCCACCCCATGAACATAGGTTGAAAGGGGTCCCCCCCCCTCTAGAAATAGGACATCTCCCACAAAGCATCTCACTTGATTCTTGTCTCAATAAACATACTTGAAATTGAACTTGAATCTCACTCGAGATGTTTCCTAGGTATCTATTTGCTGCTAGGTGTTCATTAGGTGACGGGAAACGCTCTCAAACTTTTGTCATCGTGGCCGGGAATCGAACCCATGACTATGACCCGTGACTATCAGTCATGCTTTTGGATTCGAGGAAGCACTCTTGGGGGGGGATTTGAAATTTGATGTAACTAAACAAGTCGTTGGGTGATCTTTCTCATTGCAGTATTGTCTGGATGAGGTCAATTCAATTTCTTTCTTTATTATACACCCCATACCCATCCCGTGGGCGGTGGTGTAAAGGATTACAGAGGTCAAAATCTTGATAAACCGTCGATAATGCGTTTGCTCTTTCACAGTAAAATAAACCCCTCCCCCCCCCCCAAACAAGTATGTGTGTGTTCGTATAATATATATATTATATCAAATAGCAAGGGCACCTGCCTTTTGTTATCCCCAAAAATATAATGGAAATATTAACATAAGAAAACATGAATTTAATCGTAGGTGCTTCAGATGCCCCAGAAATGGCGGGAACTTGCAAAGTCGCAAATGCCTCGAAAAAGGCGGGAGTTTTGTGGCGGATACGAGTCTTGAGCAGCGGGGCGATCTCTCTCTCACACTCACTCTGTAAACACTACGCCACGTGACGATTCCGCACACAGGACTCAATCCCCTCCTTCTCTTTCTCTTCTCTTTTCGTGTGTTGTATATTCGCCTAGTGGTCCTTAGGGAGTTGAACTATATCTCCGGAGCCTCGCCTTTCCTTCGCCTAGTAGGGTAATGGAATGACTTTCATTCCTAATGTTTCTCGCCGTTTTTCCTTTTGAAGTTGCTTATTAAATTTGCCTCGACGATCTCCAGTTGCCGGTTCTAATTACTTTCTTTTCTTTATTATATAATATACAATATAAAGATCATATTTACATCAATTTACAAGGGAAAATACTACATTTATATATAGTTTATTTAATTATCAGTAAACCAATTTTTCATATCACACAACATGAGCCGTAAACCCCAAATGTTATACTTGATGCTGTCTCGCAAGAACTTCAATATTTTGTCTACTGAGTAACCCTCTTGCCTGCCTATCCACACACAAAAAATGTAATCAGAATTGTATTCTTAATTTTCTTGCATTTTATGTCAATATGAAACATTAAAAACCTCATTAAATCCACTCTAATGCTTTGTCCACACAAAGCTTTAAGAGTGTCTGTAATCCAGTTTACTAGAACAACTTTCTGTTTACAGAAATAAATATATACGCTCAAGACCGCTTGAGGTTCCGTTTCTCATCTAATATAAATTGTGCACATATTGGTTCTGTTGTATTTAATTTTGAAATCTTGTATTAAATATACATTCACACCAAATCCTTACTCCAATCTACTTCGCCGCTAATGATTTCTTTTCGTTTCACTGGAGAAGTCTGTAATTTTCTGGTGTCTTCAATGTTTCTTCTGTTCCTCTATAATGTAGGGAACAGTTTCTTCAATGTCTTCATAATTCAATGCTTTCGATTTTGAGATCTTACAGCAACTGAATCGCCACTCTTAGCTGAATTTCGCCACAGCTACTGGTTACCAGTAGTAGCCACAACCGACACCCGCCTCCACTGACAACTATCACCGACCACTAACTACCTACCAACTGGGGGAAAAACATCCATTCTGTCCCCCTGGCTTGAGATGTCATGTTACAATGACCATGGCCGTTGGCCACTGCAGTCGTCCGCACTGCAAAATATGATGATACACTAATCATTGCAATCTCCCTCCCTCTGCACTAATTATTGCAACCTTCTCCCTCTGCAACTCGCGTTTATTCTCCGTCTCTGGCCTGCCAGCATTAGCCTGGTGGGTAGCCTAGCCTGGTGGGTAGCCTAGCCTGTTGGGTAGCCTAGCCTGGTGGGTAGCCTAGCCTGGTGGGTAGCCTAGCCTGGTGGGTAGCCTAGCCTGTTGCCGCCACCCTTCCTGCCTCTTCACATGAAGAATATTTTACCTTCAACGTTTCTTTCGAGGCCACATTTGTTTTACGACTTTTTTGTTGTATTTTTCAATATTAATTTTGTAGCAGTGTTCATACCTATTTCAATTAAAGTTGAACGTATAATGGAAATGTGGACATATTTGTAGAAAAGATGGCGCTTATAGTATTGTGGATTACTATTATTATTTGTCTCTCCGTGACACGCCCGGTCTGAGAATCCTTAGGTGCCTTGTGTTGCCAGACTTGGCACACCCGCATACGGGAGAGGTGCCAGTTACCACCCCAACCTTCCGGAAATTACAATTCCAAGTGCACGTGCCAGCTCTCGTACTGAACCGGCTCGTTATGATTTGTTTGTCGTGTGAGCTGCTGGCGGTGGTAAACAGAGAGAGAGAGAGAGCGAGAGGGAGAGAATGGAGATATTACCTTGGTTTGCGATATGGGTAACTGGCAACTCCAGTGTGGGAATCAATATGAAAGCACAGCAGGTCCAGCTCCATCCAAAATACATTTTCTTCACTGAAAGTTGGTCAGAACTATACCCACTAACATCTTTATAGCGAGAAAGATAGTCGAGAACGCATATAAGCGAGTTAAAATCGTAATAAGAGAGGCATGAGCCAGGTGAAGATGATTTCGAAGTTATGTCAGCTGAGAAGAGGTGGCAACGTGGACCAGCTGGGCGCGAGGCAACCCCGAACTAGAGCCAGACCAGCCAGTGGTTCTTATGACCCTGGAGGAGGGAGCACGTTATCGCCGTTTTCCAAGTCGCTATTATTGTTCCAAGTGCGACGGAAGCCACCGATCTCATTCCACGAGGCCGTTCGTGCCGCAGCGTGATATGCTCACCGCCTCCAAGATCTTTATTATCGATGCGTGTGGACGGTTCGCTCCTCGCGGTAGAGGGTCGAGGTGGCTTATGTGTCGTTCATCATTAGTGATCTGTTGTGCTGGAGGATATTCAGTCCCATAGCGGAACACACTTGATCCTCTTAACCAAGATTGGAAAAAAACAAACAGAAGAACGCAAGTTCGGGGCGTAATATCCTCCTGAACGCCGCTCATTAGAAACCCCTTTGGAAACTCGCACGTTTATTTTTTGTCCTGCGCTCGAGTAGGAAAGTGTCACTCGAGTTGAACTAGTGTTTACTATGTGATGTTTGTAGTCACGAGTGACAGTCTACAAGTCGGACTTGAGGTTTATGAATGACGCGGGTGTAGTAGGCACAGAGAGAGAGACACCACAGTGTCGGGCGAACAGCGTGGGTCTTAACTAGAGATTCGTTGTTGTTCTTGCCTAACAAGTACGTTATTTGCTGCCACCAATAATACCCTGAGACTGGTTGCACTCCCTGCACCTCCCCCCCCCCTCTCCCTCCCTCCCTCTATCTCACAAGTAGATTTGGAGGATTTTTTTTATCGGGATTATTATATATATATATATATATATATATATATATATATATATATATATATATATATATATATATATATATATATATATATATATATATATATATATACCTTTTTGTTGTTCAACTGCATCACGTGACTTTTTTATTCTCGGTGTCAAAATTCACACTTAGATTTACACACTCACAAGTGTGTGTGTGTCTTTTTTTATCCTATGTTATTATGTGTGTAAGAAGACATTACCATTAACTTATTTATTCTGTGTGTTAACCGTTCTCTTTCACACTTTTATTTTGTGGTTGCTGTTATTGGATATAGTTGTTCGCACCTGTTTATTGTGTGTTGCCACTCCTCCTCCTCTCTGCACAACCCTTCCTGTTACGTCACGTCACGTGATTGTTGCTGGGGTCTAATCTCTGAAAAGGTTATCTCCTCTGGAGACAATTTTGTCATAAAACAGTGGATTAGCCGAGCTTCAGGGAGGGCTGGAAGGGGCGTGGTTGTGGGAGGGTAGGAATGGCGTGGTTGTGGGAGGGTAGGAATGGCGTGGTTGTGGGAGGGTAGGAATGGCGTGGTTGTGGGAGGGTAGGAATTGGCGTGATTGTGGGAGGGTAGGAATTGGCGTGGTTGTGGGAGGGTAGGAATGGCGTGGTTGTGGGAGGGTACGAATTGACGTGGTTGTGGGAGGGTAGGGATGACGTGGTTGATGGTAGTCGTTGATGGCTGCAAGTGAGGCTTTTTGTGGGGCAGATGGAACGTTATTGGCGAGGAGAACCTGGGTGTAGATTTCGGGGGAGCATAGGGGTGGGTTATTGATATTAGCAGGGCGATGTGGGAGAGGTTGTGGATCGCGGTTACGGAGTTTGCTGGAGGATTAGGGCAAGGAGGCGGCTAAGCCCCTTGTGAACAATGGCGAGATTGAAATCTCCAACGTATGATCATGGTAATTCAGGCCTAGGATGCTCAAGACCCCTGAATTTAAATAGGTCGAGGAGAGTCGCACCTTATTGATGTAACCTTCAGTGGTGTCAGGGTCTCCAGGTACATACCTTGAGGCTACCTTGAGGTGCTTCCGGGGCTTAGTGTCCCCCGCGGCCCGGTCGTCGACCAGGCCTCCTGGTTGCTGGACTGATCAACCAGGCTGTTAGACGCGGCTGCTCGCATACGTGCATACATACGTGGCATGCGGGTCACACCCTGGTGATGACACCATTACGGTGCCAGAGCTTTATACATGTGACTTGGCAGAATTCTAACCCAATCAAATAGCAACTGAACACACACACACACACACACACACACACACACACACACACACACACACACACACACACCAGGAAGCAGCCCGTATCAGCTGTCTCACCCGCCAAACACTCAAGACTACAACATTTCTACAACGTTTAACACGTTTTTAACACCTTATAAATTATAACAACGTTCAAATACGTCATAAAAACGTTATAGCAAGATGTAACAACTTTATTTCAAGTTGTAACAAGCAAAAAATAGGGCCAGTTACGTTTTGTGTTTGCATGGCAGGTACATATTTATTGCTAGGTGGAACAGGGGCATCAGGGGGAAAGAAACTTTGCTCATTTGTTTCCGCCTCCGCCGGGAATCTAACCCGAGCCATTATGACTACGACCCCCGAGTGCTATCCACTCAGCAACGAGGCCCGAGGTTACTGAGGTAACCTTAATTTGATGGGTCTGGAACCCAAACCTAAGGAGTGCTATATCTAGCAAGGAGTGCTATATCTAGCAAAGAGTGCTGTATCTAGCAAAGAGTGCTATATCTAGCAAAGAGTGCTATATCTAGCAAAGAGTGCTGTATCTAGCTAGGAGTGCTATATTTAGCAAGGAGTGCTGTATCTAGCAAGGAGTGCTATATCTAGCAAGGAGTGCTATATCTAGCAAGGAGTGCTATATCTAGCAAGGAGTGCTATATCTAGCAAGGAGTGCTATATCTAGCAAAGAGTGCTATATCTAGCAAGGAATCCCTGTGTTAGTCACGAGGGCAGATGTGCTGTTATTGACCAGTGGAAGTCGCTTAGTCATGCTTGTCTCCACTAAGGCTTCGGTTAGACTGCACATTATACCCGACTATAGACACAAAGAAAAAGTTGAAGGCCAGCTTAGACTTTAATTAGAAAAGGTAGAGGGTAAGAGACTCTGTCAATGGGGCTCTCGTAACTTTAGCGTCAATAGCTACATTACCCTTAGGAGGCCTGGTCGAGGACTGGGCCGTGGGGACGCTAAGCCCCGAAATCATGTGAAGGTAACACCTAGAGCCACTAAGAGTTTCAGAACCACGAGCCTACAACGTAAATAACTACTTGAAGACACCTAGTAGTATAACCTAAATATAATACATAGTGTATCATGTTAGAGTAATATGTAATTCATTAACAGTAATACATTGTGTCGGGAGACAGGCAACTAAACTGTATTCATACACGTTAGGCTTGTATGAAGCCTAAAAAAAAAAATAATCCTCTCCTTTCTGGTGTTGAGCCAATTCGTAGCAGCCTAGTGGAGGCAGAAGATCACTTCCCTGGAAACACAAACCAAAACTGTCTCTATTTTCCGCTTGTTTCAACTTGTAATAAAGTTGTTACATCTTGGCTTAACGTGTTTATGACGTATTAGAACGTTGTTACAACTTGCTATATTGGTTGTTATAACTGGTTAGGAGGTGTTAAAACTGGTTCGAACGTTGTACGAATGTGGTAGTTTCAGTGTGTTTGGCGGGAACACTCCCGTACCCCTACTCTGCACAGGTTTGCTAAACTAGCCAAGACAGTATCTGTAGCGTCAAGAGGGGGGTTAATCTTGTAAAACAAGTTCCGTAAAGTTCCAGACGTTCCGTGGACCGCGTGTAAGGAACTTTGGGGTTCCATCAAGGTACCGTCGATTGTGTGTGTTGTTTAAAATCGGATTGATATACAAATGAAAATTACCACAGAAATAAAGAAGAATGTGTAAGCTCTTATTTCTATTTTGTGCATTATTATATTAATATACGATTATATATATATATATATATATATATATATATATATATATATATATATATATATATATATATTTTTTATACCTAGAAGGGGTACCACCTCTGGTGCAAGTGTAGGGACCCATAGCCTCGGAGAAGAAAATAAAGAGTACTCAGAGAAGACCTTGTGGATCCTCACTGAACACTTTGATATTTTCTTCTCCTACCACCCCTATTCTTTTGGTATGTGTGTATATTTATCTAACTTTATTTGAAAATGTCATTACACAAATATATATATATATATATATATATATATATATATATATATATATATATATATATATATATATATATATATATATAATCAGGTTTGACCTAGAGTGTCCACAGGGGGAGGCAAATCACGTGTAGACCGTGTTTACAAGACAACACATATTTTTTTAACAAGATCATTAATCTGGCAGCGTCGACTCTTAACAGTGTTGCTGTAAGAATTTATTGTCAAGAGTTTCCATGTCTTGCGATATAAAAGTGTGGGACGAGGTTCTCCTAGTTAGGATGAACCACAATGGCGTGACTACTATACAGTGCCAGAAACTCGTAATAATGTCATAAATAAGTTCAAATACAACCGGAAGTCAGAGAAGATTTTTATATATTTTTCTCTGTTGCAAAGTCGACATTATGCCCTGAAGGGTAATATGCACATAGTTATTTTGTTGACAACTAACAGTTAATAACAGTAATTAACAGTAATAACTGCTGGTCAATAAATTCGATGCAATTTGACGTGTGACGTGCATGATTAATTGAACGACAAAAGCAAAAAAAAAAAGTACAGACATTATCAAGTATTGCATGCTAATTACAGCCATTAACGCTGTAGCTCATTTTATAACAAGTTGTTGACCAATTACGCGTCTCCTAAGTACTGGATTTTCATTTCTAGTCATTGGAGAATATCTCCAAGGAGTCACACCCTGCAGTGCAGGTAGTGATAAATCACAAGACGTTGCTCTGCCATCTTTGTGACGTGTGGAGATGGAATGCATAGATTGCAAGTCCTTCTTGAGGCCTCCTGCGAGTTCATTTTCGGGGTCAGATATTGATCAGGGGGGAATGTTGAGTTTGGTGGTAGGGGAGAGAAGGGTGCAGTGGCAGGGAAGGGTGGCGAGAGAGGGGTGAGTGGTGGGGGAGGAGTGGTTCGCGGGGATGGTTGTGGTGGTTGTAGGTGATGGGGTTAGTGGTGAAGGGGGAGGTGGGGTTAGTGGTGAAGGGGGAGGTGGGGATAGTGGTGAAGGGGGAGGTGGGGATAGTGGTGAAGGGGGAGGTGGGGATAGTGGTGAAGGGGGAGGTGGGGATAGTGGTGATGGGGGAGGTAGGGAGGGGGGGTGTTGAGGGATGCAAGATAGATAGGGTTGCGTGTGCATGCTGGTGTGTGTGTGTGTGTGTGTGTGTGTGTGTGTGTGTGTGTGTGTGTGTGTGTGTGTGTGTGTGTGTGTGTGTGTGTGTGTGTGTGTACCCGTGAGCTGGTCAAGTAAAACTTGCACTGTGTGTTCTGTCTTCCGGTATTTTAGTTATATCAGTTTCACTGTTCAGCACCCATGTTTCTTTTAGGTTAGTGTATTATGTAGTACGCACTTGTACATTTCCATTTATATATATATATATATATATATATATATATATATATATATATATATATATATATATATATATATATATATATATATATATATTTATTATGCAAAGAGCGATTGCATGTTATTGTAGTAAGCTTGTGTGTATCAACTTTTTAGACTACATTTTTATTTGAATAACAATTCATTGTCTTCATACATAATATGAATGTATCGTATGAATATGTGGCTGACATGTGGAATATATGTAGTTGTGGTGGGTGTAAAAATGTTGATATTTTTCCCTCTTGACCAGCTGGATTAGAATTTAGAGAGCAGTACGATGCCAGCTTAATAGATCAGCACCTCTTATCTGGGCAGTTATGGCGATATTTGGTATACACTTTACGAGCTCTGAGGTACAACGAGGTCATCCATAAGAATAATTACGTGTTAACCAGGCTGGGCTGGATGACGCCGCCGCCGCGGGCGGGCAGGCGTGCTTATTGGCGGGAACAGCGGTGTTGTGGTTACCACTCAGATTGATTGATTAAAGATATAGCACGGGCATGAATAGCCCGTAATGACCCCTCCCCAATCACCCACGTACATAAGTATCATCTCTTGCACCCTAGCTCTCTACTCTTCCAATCGGCTTTACGGTTAATTCCTTCTTCCGTTCATTATCCCTCTCTCTCTCTCTCTCTCTCTCTCTCTCTCTCTCTCTCTCTCTCTCTCTACCATTCGTCTATTAATCCATATAACGTGCACGCGGTCCACACCCATCCATCAGTATTGCATGACTCAGGAATGCGCGAGGCATGGCACAAGAAACAGTTCAGTTATTTGATACCTCGCCTGACACCAAACCCAGAATTATGTGCAAGCTCGTGCACTCTCTCTCTCTCTCTTTCCCCATTCGCTATTTTAATCCTCTTCACTTTTCCTTCGCGTTTTTCCGTTCTTGCCTCTTGTCGAACTCGCTTCCGGTACCCTTTTCGCTTTCCTACCTTTTCCTCGCCCTCTCCCTCACCTTTCCTCTCCATTAGCACCGAACACGGCTTCAGGTACTAGCTTTCAGCCCTGACTAATTCCTTCCCCTGCACCCCGAGGTGCACCACCACTCCAGTGCACATTTTCTCCTGCTGTTGGTCCTGCTTATGTTGGTAGGGAGAGTGAAGAGCTGGACTTGGTACGGTGTTGGAAATTCAGGTTAAGGTGTCGGGTTGTGTGTGTTTGGGATAGGGTGTGTGTGTTTGGGATAGGGTGTGTGTGTTTCGGATAGGGTGTGGGTGTGTGTGTGTGTGTGTGTGTGTGTGTGTGTGTGTGTGGGGGGGGGTGTTGGAGAGGTGGGGGGTGTGGATGTAGTTCGGGGCATGTTGA